AGTATGTCAAATATTGATGGGACAAGAGAGGACAGGATTCAACTCTCTTATTAATAGAATCATTATGAATTGTTCTCAACCTGGCAACACCTAACAACAACAACAACAACAACAACAGTAACATCATACAGCCATTAGAAATATTTACTGCTGTAAGAAATAATGTGCATAAATATCTCACACATAAGGATCCAGGTACAAAGAAAATAGGATTGATTCTAATTTATATGAAGAACATAAGCTCTGAGAAGTCCAGTAGAAATCTTGATTGTGGTTTTCTAGGAATATAGTACCTGGAAGAGGAAATGAGAATATCATATGGAGAGACTGGTAATATTCTGCTTTTTGATCTAGACTTTGTCTATCTGGGTTGGTTCCGTTTGTAAAATTCTTTGAAGTGTTGTTAGGTTCTTTTTCTGTTTGTATGCAATACTTCAGTACAGTATTTCAAACAGGAGGCTTTGCAAAATGGACTAGGGGAGGGATGAGAAAGGTGGAAGAGGGAAAATGTGCAACAACAATAAAAAATAAGCTAAAAAATACAGTGCTTCAAATGCAAAAATATTTACTAGCCTCAGTTGGTGATAGTCTTTTTATTACTGTTGAGTCATGACTAATGACTAGTGGACCCTCCAGCAGGTTTCCAAGGCTTTGCACAGCAGGAGATTGCCCACCTTTCTCTTGTCGGAGCCTCTGGTGGATTTGAACCATTAGAGAGGTGCCATCTTGGGGTTAGCAGAAAAACTCCCCACAGTCTACACTAACAGAGCAGCTTTCAGTTGCTAATAGCTACATATAACTTATTTTCATTACAAGGGTGTTCATGTCTCAGTACACGGAGTGTTTGAGTCACTGAACCTCTGTTCCCTTTCATGGAGAAAAGGTATCAGAATTCTTGGGGTTAGAAATTTTCTTATTTTCTGCATCAGTATTTCTTCAGAAACTAAGACATGACCAAATTTATCTTCTAATTACAATCACATTCCTGTCATGAACTAACTCCCAGGCCACTGAAATGATTTCTTATGATCATTTCTTTTGTTCCAAAGAAAAAGCACATTGACTCTTGGAGAAGAGAAGTAGTAAAATGTAGTAGTTACTTGGCTGGAAATGATACTTTTCATTCAGCTACTTGATGTGGACAATTCATGTACCTTCTATGAACCTAGATTTTTCTCATTCATGAAATATTGAAATAATATTGAACAAAACGAGGCCTTAACTGAGCTCATTTGTTAATATTACGTACTATTTTTGTTTCACTTACTGATTTCTTTCTTCTGTAACAGATAACCAGAAGATGGAGAAAAAAATCAAAAGAATATATCTTGCTTCTGAACCAACTGTAATTCATTTTTTGCAAATATCCTGGGAAAGAACATTAGGATCTGGATATCACATTACACTTACTGATGGACAATCAGTATGGACTGGGACAGGTAATATTCAAAGCAAATATTTTAAAGTAAATCCTTAATAATGTCCTATGTTTTTCAGTCCTCAGTGATTCTTCAGATTAATCTGTTTTTAATAGATAGTGGACAAAAATAGTGTGAACTGAGATTGCTTGTTATTGGTATTTACATAATACTTTTTAAACATTTAATGTGATTTCCAGGATCAATTTTAATAGAAAAATAAAGATATAAGCATATACTGAAGGAAATTCTGGCTACTTACTAAGTTTTGATTCTTGGATTTGATATTATAAATATTTCCTTTATTGAAATTGTAAATGAGACTTTTATGGGTAAATCCTCAAGACCTGGGGGATATTAGGAAGCAGGCTGAGCTAAGTGTAAAGCCCTGGAAGTGGGATAGGATAGAGTTATTTTTTGTTTTGGTTTTTTTTTTTTTTACTTTGCCCACTTACATAATTTTAATTCTTTTCTGGTAAGTATACCCTGTGTTTCAAACAAAAAGAAAGTTTATGACCTAAAATTTTGCAAGAGAGGATTTAAACCTCACAGATTAGATTTTGACTCTTTATGAAGTCTTTAAAATCACGATATGTGGGGAAATTTTGTTTTTCCTGTTACACCACTCTTGTTATCCCATACAGTCAAAACTGAATTGATATTTGTAACTTTTTTGTCTTTTTTTTAATTATTAAATTTTATTAATTTTAATGAACATTTACAGGGATTTTGGGTTTTCATTCCTTCATTGCTGCACCAT